CTCTCTCAAATAAATAAATAAAAAAATCTTTAAAAAAAAAAAAATAAGTATAGGGAAATAAGAAAACTCAGAGAACTCTTTTAGCCAAACTGAGTGAATACCTGCTAAAATGCCGTCAACACCCCTCAGGCCTCATTTCCTTAGTAAGTCTGAAATTTACCAGTGAAGTATTTCACAGAGTATGGCCTGAGTGAAATCATGAATTTCCAAGGCCAAAACAAGCACTCTAAAATTTAAGTCCAAAAGGGAAAAATGAAAGTTTCTTTTATGTTAAAACATTCAAATCCACTTATTCATCTACTATTACTCCAGGAATAAACGTTAGGATCAAAAAACAGGGAAAACAGGAAGAGAGTTGTCTTTTAAAAACACCTAAAACAGGCCGGTCCAGAGAAAATATCACCTCTTTTCAAAGAAGGAATTTCTCCAAACTTAATTGCTTTCTTCTCCTCCAGATAGTCTGCTGAGAAGGCTGGCTCACCTGGCCATTTCTATTGCTTTTCTGAAAGGATATTTCTGCAAGATGGCTCAGAGAGCTATTTGAACTTATTATTACCCAATATTCAAAATGTCTACCGCTGACCTTCATGCAGGACAATGCTTAGACGCAGGGGATATTTAGCTGAGTGGCTTAGAAGAAGTTGATTCGTAGCAAGCTCAGGACACAACCCCAGGCCTACTTGTCCGGTTTTTTAAAAATTCACTGTAATAAAATCTTATTTTTACAAAATAATCCATCCACATTAGCTTTTGCTAGTGCAACACATTACTTTTAAAGAATGTGGAAAATAGAGAAAGGGATTTTTTTTTTTTTTTTAGCTAAAATGGATACTAGTAGTGAAGTAAATAAGGACCACTGTAGTTTAGTGAGAAAGTCAATATGGATTCTAATAAAAATTTTTTTCCTACATAATTTTAAGAAAATCAAGATCTTGAAAGGCTATATAAATAGACAAGCGGGCGGGGCGCCTGGGTGGCTCAGTCAGTTGAGTGTCTGACTCTTGATTTTGGCTTGGTTCATGATCTCAGGGTCGTGAGATCAAGCCCTACCTCGGGCTCCATGCTCAGCGCAGGGTCGCTTGTCCCTCTCTCTCTGCTCCTCCCCCTGCTCTCTCTCAAAAAAATAAATAAAATCTTAAAAAATAGACAAATGGGGATTTTTTTAAAATAGTAAAATGATGTCCACTTGTTAGTAAATTGGAAGAAAACAGAGACGTGAGCTGCCTACAGTCTATTGAAAGTAGTCTATTGTACCCCTTAAAAGGAAATTAATGAGTAACATTTAATTAAGAAGTTGTGATTGAAGATTTGCTACGATTCATGCCAGACATTTCCAAAGGGAAGGGAACTTGGAACTAAAAAGGACTGAGAGCAAAGAAAACAAGTGAGTGTGGAATACAAAAACGGGCCACGGAGGAGCCTGGGACCTCCGAGACATGAGAACAGAGAGAAACAGGCTCTGACACTTGCAAATTAGGAAACAGTGACGGAGAACACCGCTCATACTGACAAGGGGCCAGACAGGCATCAAAAAATGTGGGGAATGTCTATTTACAGAAAAATATTTTTGGTCCTAAATAGACGGACATCATTGCAGGCTTTGAAAAATTCAAAAGCCTTTTGCTTCAGATCTCTGCCCTCTATTCCCTCCCAAGAACGAGTGGCAAGTCAATTCCAACCCCTCGGTGTGCGGAGAAGGAAACGGAGCAAAAGTACGTGGGATGACGTGCCCACAGTTGAGACAAACAGTCGGAAGCTGTTCGGCAGGGATGTTCCTGACGCAATGTTCCACCCTGATTTTTGGGGTTTTTTTTTTTTTTTTTGGTTTAACAAAAGTTTTATTTCTCACTCCCATAAAGTCCACCACAGGACTGTGGGATTCTCCAAAACAGCTGCTCTCCATGTTGGGGGGCTCAGCACTCCAAACTACTCTGAGTTTCTGACCCCTTTTTCTGTACGGGCCTCCACGACTGAGCGGGAAGAGCCCTGGAGCCTTCCACCAACAGATAAAGGCTTCAGCCCAGATGTTTCACGCTGATTTCAACACCAACCACTACGGTATGAAATGCAATCACACATGGTTGTCGTAACGATTTCATTTTCCAAAACAACAGAAACTCCACAAACCTTCAGTTGTTCATCTACAACTCTTGTCACTTCTCCAGCCATTGATTCCAGGGTCTCTTGAATGGGACCGGATAACAAGCCACTGGTTCCTGCCCAAGACGTCCCCCCGACATGGTATAAGTTTGGTAACAGCTGTAATAAAAATACAAATAACGTCTCTGTAACTATTTAAATAAGCACCAAAGTCATTGCAGAGTTAGTGAAAAGGGTAAGAAATATTATTAGAGAGAATCTGTTCTCGATCAAAGGCTCTTTATACAGATTAATAAACTGGGGTTCAGGACCAGTATGCCATCTCCGTGCCTCTTGATGTCTTCCTCTGGGATATGAAGGTGTTTGCTGCTCAAGATCCTCCTACTCACAACAGTCGAGGGCTGTGTGACCAAGAGCAGAGCCAGGCCCAGGCCCCAGGTTCTCTGACCCCCGTTAGTCTCTTCTCCATGAAGTCACATTTTGGGGACCAAATTCTAATTTGAAAGAAGCTTCCTTTTAGAGGTGACAGAGGGGAGTTTCATGCTATCAGCTTAGAAGTAGAATAATTTTAAATGAGCCGCTGCCCACGTAAACGACAACTCTACCTCTCAGTTCTTCAGGACCCGATGATATCCCTTGTCACCACATGGGACCCCTACTTTTTATTCTATATTTTGGTGACCGGTAATTAGCCCGGGGAACAGAAAGGAGGCAAAGAGGAACTCCATTCACTCTGCCACTTGTTAGTCACCCCGACATTGGGTAGAAAGCTAAAAAAAATTGGAACTAGTTTCTAGAATTGAAGTTCAAAAAAGCTTTTTATTATGTAAGACGCTCACGTAGCCTGAAGTGAAACTCACCGTTTTAGAGTTCTTCGCATCACGCATGAGCCTTTCTGCAGACTTTAAGTCTTCCTGGACAGCGTCTCCCACACAATTTCGTAAAGAGTTGAGATGGTCCTGTACTTTCACACATATTCTGTCAATCATCTGCTCCATGCCATGAAAATGACGGCAAGCATCCAAGGCAGCATGGCCAATATTCAGACAGAAGAAAACAGGGAATGAATGAGGACAAAAACATCTTCTAACTGGAACATTCGAGAAGGTAGCTTATATATAGCCAGTTATTAATTTATCTGTTCATATCAGCAGCCTTTGGCAACATTAACTCCAGTAAAACATCTCAGGGACTTCAGTCCTTTTTCCTGCCTTAGGAAATGCAGCATGTAGAACAGAAGTGTGCCCTTCTGGATGATTCAGAATTTCGTGGCTACTCCATGACACTTAGCTAGATAGTAACTCTCCTTCATTAATTTTTATTGAGTACCCTCTATGTCAGACATAGTGCTAGGTACTGAGGAAACAGAGAAATGGACTGTGCAGTCTGGCGATGGTTGAAATGACTACAAGATGGTGCCCACAGCCAGTTGGTCCCAATATTACAGAATCACAACATCCCTGGAAATTAATATTTTTAAAAATATTTTATTTACTTATTTGAGAGAAAGAGAGAGCACAAGCAGGGGGAGCGGCATGCAGAGGGAGAAGCAGACTTCCCACTGAGCAGGGAGCCTGACTCAGGGCTTAATCCTGGGACCCTGGGATCATGACCTGAGGTGAAGGCAGACGCTTAACCGACTGGGCCACCCAGGTGCCTGGAAATTAATATTTTTAAAACTAATTCAATTATATCAGGTACTTTTCCACATAAATTAAAAGCCACCCCTCCCCAAGAAAAGCCAAGTTGAAGTTCTTTTAACACAGGCAATAATAAAGTTGACAACATTTAGTTTCTACTCCGTGAAAGCCCCTCTCCCAGGTTAATTACATCTGAATCATTCTCAGTTACTCCATGGACTTAAGCGTGAAGCCCAGAGGGAAGTGGTAGATCACTACTGTAGACAAAAAATACCACAGACGCAAGATTATATCCTTTTGCATTTGCATTTATAGAGAGAAGCATGAAGAAAGCTAAGAATTCTAAAGAAAGAGATAAACAGTGTGATTTACAAAGTTTCTCCAGTATTCTGATCAGAACTACAGCCTATTTCATGTTCTTAAAAAATTATTAATTCTTCCAGAGACCTCAGATATCCAGAGTCCCATCCCCTCTGATCATTCACTCAGAAGAGGTGGCAATCTAGTAATATTTTTTATTTAAAATTCACACTTGCTCTATTTTGAATTATCTGATCTAACAACTACAGGAAGCCAAAGTCAGCCCTCTTTCCCCCATAAATTCTGCAATAACAGAAACTTGGCTACACCACTCAGAAGACTTAGGGTCTGAATACAGAGCGGCAGTATCACCATCCCTCCCTGCCCTCCTCTTCTAGAAAATCAGGTTCATAACATCTACCCCATTTCTTTTTCTAGTGTATTATGAAGACAACCCAGTAAAGTAACACCACTCACAGCACTCATTCCCTTGACACAGGATCACTAAGTCAACATTATTGTACATTAAGAACAGCTCCTATTCCTATCAAATGTCCTGAGGTTACAGAAGTGAAGGACCCAGAGCTCCCCACAGGAAAAAGAAGTTCTATGAATAATGCTCCTCACCAAAATCTAAGCATGTCAGGAGCGACCATATCTTAACTTGATGCATTTTCACAATGCCCTGTAGAGAACCAACTATATGTTTTAAAATATCTTCTTAATTGATGTAAATTCTAACTCTTCTCTTGTATTGATCTGTGCTTCCTAAAGCAAAGAGTCATCCATAATTCAGATCTTACCAAGAAGCAATACTTAATTTCAAGAGACAAGTAAACCACATACTAAGAAAGGAACTGATACACGTCTGAGGCCACACAGGACTCATTTGAGAGGCAGGTGGATAAGGCATCATGAAGTTGGTCATCCTTAATAACCGGGAGGCCAAAGAGACTCCTGAAATGTGTGTCATGAGGCAGTCACCAAGGACACCCTGTAGATCAATCGCAGGCTCTCTTCCACGGGACGGTCTAGCACACAACTCAACACAGGTATCTCTTCTTCCCTAATCTGTTTTTCTTCAGGCTTCACATTCCCGGGTCCTCTTGCCACTCTACTATGGTGATAATCTTACAGTCCCCAACCCTCTCCCCACCCCAGGCCCCTTCTCTGAATTGTCTCTTCCATCTTGGACCTTCATGAAATATACCCCTCTCAATAAAATAGATTGTGACACAGGAGGAGGGGATCGGTAAGCTGAACAGGGCCAGCACCTTCTTTACTGTAGCAAATAAACTTCCATTAATGTGGTACCAGTCAAACTGGCTTCTCTGGCAGCTAAATCACACCACTAACTCATGTCACACTTGTTGGTGACTACTTAGGTTTTTTCAAATATACTGGGTTATTATAGAACCCAAGGTCAGAACTTAGAACTCTTTTTTTTTTTTTTTAAATAAGAGAGGTTGTTTATTTTTTTTTAAGATTTTATTTATTTGAGAGAGAGAGAGAGTACAAGAGGGGGTAGGGTCAGAGGGAGAGGGAGGAGGAGACTCCCCGCTGAGCAGGGAGCCCAATGCGGGACTTGATCCCAGGACTCCGGGATCATGACCTGAGCTGAAGGCAGTCGCTTAACCAACTGAGCCACCCAGGCGCCCTGAACTTGCTCTCCACTTGTTATAACTGTCCCCAGTTCCAGCAAATACCGTTTTTGCAGAAAAGTCTATCTACCTCCATGTCAATTTCTTTAGCCAATTCAAGAGAAATAGACTGAACACCTAAAACCGAATGAGATACAGTCCCGAATAAGATATGCCTTTTGCCACCAAGCAACTTAAAAGTCTAGAAGTGGAAAGAAGTATTCACATTTAATAGTAACACAAGATAGAGAGTGCTTCATAATATAACATCTACAAGGGCACCCCCGTTTTGTTCTTTTTGTCCACTGCCAAAGCTCGGCTCCATTTCCTACAATAGTGCCTGCCACACGGCAGACCCTTGTAAGTATGCATTCAGTGGGCGCCTGGGTGGCTCAGTTGGTTAAGCGACTGCCTTCGGCTCAGGTCATGATCCTGGAGTCCCGGGATCGAGTCCCGCATCGGGCTCCCTGCTTGGCAGGGAGTCTGCTTCTCCCTCTGACCCTCCCCCCTCTCATGTGCTCTCTCTCATTCTTTCGCTCTCTCAAATAAATAAATAAAATCTTTAAAAAAAAAAAAAAGTATGCATTCAGTGAACACAGGAATGATACAAATGTACAAGATTTCAGCCAAGGGGGGGATCCCATCTAGCTGAGGTTGAAGGTGGCTTTTCAACTGGGTCCTGAACGATTTCTACAGATTTAGAAAGTAGAAGGGAATTTTAAGCAAAAGAATAAACATAAGCAATGGCACATTCAGACACCTACGAATCCTATTTCCTGATTAGGATCAGGATGCTTTATTGTGGGAGATGGGACTGGAAAAGTTCGGCTAAGGCAAGAGAGTGAGAGACTCAGTCACAGGCTAAGGAGATGGAACAGGGTGTATGAGGCACAGGGCATCTGGCCCCGGCTCCTCCCACAACCGTGAGGGTCTAAAAATCCTCACCCCGTAGCACTCTTGGTGACTCAGCTTCCCTGCCTGATGCAAAGGACATGGGCTGTAGAGAGCAGAAGGAGACGTGGAAGGTGGATATACCAGTTCCCGTGGTACTTATAAAAGAAGACCTAGAAGTGAGTTGATAAAAACACCTGAGCAAGAGGGCTGGCAATGGAATTGGAAAAAAAAAAAAAGAACAACTGCAAAGACACTTGGAAGGTCAATGGGTGGGCACAGCGACCACTGGCTGGCCACGGCAAAGGAGACATCCAAGATGGCCCCGAGGGTTCTATCCTCAGTGAATGATGATGCCACTGAGAGAACTGGTAAAATCAGGAGTTCCAGGGATGAGTTTCGTCTTAGTCACCCCCCATCTCAGAAATGCTAAACTAGTGTTGACAAGATAAAACTTGCTGGAAAAAAACAGGGATAGACCCAGGAGTCCTCCACAGTTGGAGGGTCAAAATGGTAAGAGTAGATAAAATAGCTAAAGAAAAGAAGCACTAAGTACAAAACTTAGAAAAAGGACTGCATTTGGAGGAAGAAAGGGTAAAGAGTCATGTAGAAAGGAGACAGATAAGACCCAAGAGCACAGAAAGATATTCAAAATGGCACACTGTCAATGAATGAAGCAGTGAGTCTTAGGAAGAATGAGGTAGTTAATCGTGATGATAACTGTGACAATAAGACTAGTAACAGCAACAAACGTTAACGGTTTACTGGTGAAGAGCCAAGTACTTCCCATGCTCTATCTCAGTGAATCCCCCAGCATCTTCAGAGACGTGTTGTCCCCCCACCCTCCCCTCCCTGCTTCACAGATGAAGAAATCAAGGCTGAAACAGGTTTAAGTGACTAACATCAGTTCACACCCACAGGGAAAGCATAGCCCGTCCTTCAATCTGGGTTGTCTACGCTATCCTGCCTCCTCTCATTAACAGATGAAGAGGGAGAAAAAGCCCAGGGACTTGGTGACCAGGAGACCACGGAGAGAGCCATTTCAGTACAGATTGGGTCACATTTGGAAAGGTTACAAAGTGACAGGGTAGCAAAGAAGAAAGCAAGTATAAAAACTGTACATTTGAGGTGGGAAGAGAAAGTGTCAGGTAAGTAGCTCTAGGCAATAAAACTGCCTTCTCCCTTTTCTTAAATGGTCAGAAAAGTTTCAGAGTGAGAAGAGTGGAGTTCGGCAAGCTACAGGCAATTCTGGGCCTGTTTTTATTTTTTATTTTTCCAAAGTATATAAATTTTACTACTTCAGTGTTTAAAAAAAAAAATCCACATAGGAAAAAGGACTGGAAAGAAATAAATTAAGACCATGTGGGTGAGGGTGTGTCCGGGCCTGTTTTTATGAATAAAGTTTTATTGGAAGAGCCACCTCGTTCATGTACATAGTGACTACGACGCATGTACACAGAAAAGATCTGCTGACTTCTGATGAAGAGAGTTCATGAGATGGAAAAGAACAGACTGAAAGCAAAGGGAAAGTACGGAGTCTTACAGAGGTCATTCCTAAAGGAAGATGTGAGCAGTTATGAGATGTCATTGTAATACCTTCAATGTCGCTTGGGAATGATGACTGGCTACACAGCTGGCCAGGACATTAGTCACAGAAGGTCTGTTTTTTCTGTATTCAGATTTCTGGAAACTTCGAGAAGAAGTTTCAGTAAGAAGGAGATAAATCTCTCTTAAAGTGGCTGAAACGATTAAAGTCTGAAAACTGCTAATCATAATGTCCTAAGAAATCCCCAAAGAGAAAAGGTGGCAATATACCTACTACATAGTGACTCAAATAATTCAGACGGATGTCACCCATGCAGAATTAAACATCCGCACTACGCCCCCCCGTGTACCATTTCCTCTAGGTTGAGAAGACGAAACTTACTTTTAAGGATTAGCATTAAAGGTTGCTGCAGTAATTTTTCTGGATGGGCAAAATCCCCTGTGAATGAGGGGGAGAGTTGGAAGGATACTGTATTAAGACAAGCCTGCATTATGGCAGCTCATAAAGGAACCCGAGGCAAAGGTTCGATGTAAGATTTTAGCACTCTCGTTGATTTTAATGTTCACCACTAAAACCAGGAAATAACAGTAAACCATAAAGTACTAAGCTAATATTAGTCCCTTGCAGGGGGAAAAAAATAGATTTTTCAGGCATTGGTAAGGGCAAACTTTTGTTTTCTTTTTCAAAACTCCCTGCTACTTCACCAATATTCATAATTACTGTTTTTTTCTCAATATACATCGCTTTACTTTGTCTTTTAAAAGAATACATGGTCTTTGTATTCTTATTCAATGCCATAAAGGTTTCAAAGAATACTGTGAAGTATATGAGAATAAAACTCACTTAAATCACACCTCCTGAGATAACCCTCATGCACATCCTGGTGAAGACCCTTTCACAAACCTCTATGCAGACCTATGCAGTGTTCCAGATAATTTTACCTACTTGGACTATTATACATGATGCTTTTATTGTGGACATTTTTCTTTCATTCTAAGAAAAAGCAACAGCAAAAAAATTAAAATGACATTTGCACAAGGTAAGAAAACAGTGCAAACCATTAAAAAAATGGTCTCAAATGACAAACTTTGCCTACCAGTCACCCTGCTGAGATAAACACTTGGAAACCCGCTGCTTTTTAAATTCTTCTGGTGGCTTCCATGTGAAATTTAAATAGCAGACTTACATTTGTATTTTTCTAAATATATTATTTTAATTCCAGTATAGTTAACTATATTTGTATTTTTGATTTAAGAAGGAATGACGGAAAAGAAGTTGAGTCCATAAAATAAAAACTAAAAATTCAGCATACTTAATAACTCCCACCTGAATTTCTCCCTCTTCAATTTCTAATTTTAGTTAGTATCAATACTTTTACATTAAGATTTCTAACATTCACATTTTTTAACGTAACAATAATGAGGTTTTCCCTTCTTGTCTGAGTTGATATTAAAATTTTAAACCCACTAAAATGCAGTTACAGAATTATGACTATGGGATCCCCACATAAAGAAATGTAATCCCGTGTCTTTTAATCCTGTAGCTCCCAGCAGACTGTCCAATTTTTAAAAGCTTTCCTTCAACTTTTGTGACTTCAAGGATTTCATTTCTGCTACAGTTTCTTATTTACATCTCATACTGCATACTCTCTTATTTTTCATCGTTACGCTGGAGAATTTCCTCAAAGAACTTTTTGTGCATATGGAATACTGGGGGTCAAATTCCTGAGTCCATGTCTGAACCCATTTTAATTGTGTCCTCATATCTGTTTAATAAGTGGCTAGGAGTAGAATTCATGGTCCCAAATAAATCCCCCTCTGAACTTTGATGACATCACCTCATTTGCTTCCAGTAACTGGGATGGATGCAAAGAAGCGGTTCTAGTTCTCCTGTAAGATAGCCCTTTGATTCTCTCTGGTACTCTTTTAAGATTTTAAAAGGCACAAAATCATCAGCAATTAAAAGCGCATTTTTAGGGGCGCCTGGGTGGCTCAGTCGGTTGAGCGTCTGCCTTCGGCTCAGGTCATGATCCCAGGGTCTGGGGATCGAGCCCTACATCGGGCTCTCTGCTCAGCAGGAAGCCTGCTTCTCCTTTTCCCACTCTTCCTGCTTGTGTTCCCATTCTCACTGTCTCTCTCTTTGTCAAATAAATAAACAAAATCTTAATAAAAAAAAAAACTTAGCAATTGCTAATAATTAGCAACATTTGTTTTCCTCTTTCTCTGGATCATTTGAAAGCAAGTTGTAGGCATCAAGACTCTTCCCTCCTAATTTTAAATTATTGGTTTTAGCTCATTAATTTCCATCCTTTCCTTACTTCTGATATTGGCATTTAAGACCATATATTTCACTCTAAGTACTAGTTTAGCTGAAGTTCAGAGGTTCTACTATTACTATTAAGATTATCATTTAATTCCGAATACCCCCTTATTTAAATTATGCTTTCCCCTTTGACCTTTGAGTTATAAGTAATTTTTAGGGGAGCCTGGTTGACTCAGTTGGTGGGTGTCCGACTCTTGATTTCCCCTCAGGTCATGATCTCAGGGTCATGGGATTGAGCCCCATGTCAGGCCCTTCGCTGAGTGTGGAGCCTGCTTAGGGTTCTATCCCTCTCCCTCTGCCCCCTCCTGCTCGTGTGCATG